ATGTTCTATAATTTAAAAGCACACAAGCAGGTACTGTGATTATGATTTATTTTCCTTTCTTAGACTGTATTACTTGAAGCTCTGTATGTTTTCTGCAGTATTCATGACTTGAGATGTGTCCACCCAGGATCAACATGTCACCACATGGGAGTCTCTTGATAAACTGTTTAACCATCTAATCTTTCGTTGTTGCAGGTGACATGGCTGTATGGTATACAACTCACAGGTTTACTCCTGGTCTGCATTCTTCAGTTTTTTAATTCCATGATTCTTGGATCATTACTTATCAGCTTTAACTTTTCAGTATTAATTGCAAGAAAACTTCAGGTGGGACTTTTTTTTTTTAATGTTGTGTTTGTTTGGACCTTGTTTTCATAAAGCATACAAAGGAAAATTTATGACTAAATCCCCACTAAAAAGCACTAGGAGCGTTATTTGCTTTTTTTTTTTTGTGAAGTGCATGGTATAGCATTTGTTTTCAAGCATTCTGATGTGTCTTCCCTTTGTTCTGACATTATTTCTTAGAAAATTGGAATCTTAATTCAAGTCAGAATTAGCCAAAGATGCTTATTTGATTGCCTCCAGTTTAAAGTTGAAATAACAGAAAAATTTTGAACCTTTTTTCATGTGTGAATTTCAGAGTGAGAAGACCCCGTTGCTTATGGGAATGTGTCCTCCACAGCCTCTCAAGCTGGGGGACACCTTGTCATTTGAAGTAGTGACACCACTCTTTCCTCCATCTTCCATATCATATTACTGATTTTAAGTGAATTAAAATTAACTCTGTCTTGAGAATTTTGAGATTCCAAATAAATACCTTTAGAAAGAATGAGACATTTCCTAGAATAACGTGTTTGACATTGACCTGATCTTTTGGCTTTATTATGTAACTGAAGTTTCTTAAATTTACATAGGATTTAAGAGTTAGTTGTTTTTCCTTAGTAATGTTGCAAAGCCAGCTTTAATCTCCTAAGCATATGAGGAACTTTCTATCAAATATCTGTTTTGTTTTCCACTTTGGGAAGAATAAATCCTTTTTCTTATTAGTCTCTTGAGTGAGAGCTGCTATGGACAAATCTTCACAAAGATTTTAAGAAAGAAGGTTTTAGTTGACTGTTGTAAACTATAATTTTCATTCATCCTTTAGCCTTAATTAAAAATAAACATTACTCATATTTGAACTTTTTAGATATTGTTATATTTGATAGTCTGTAGTTATCTGAGGGTTATAAAAAAACTGTTATATATCAAACAGCACAATTTATTTTTCAATAGGTCTTTTATTTAATGAGTTATATAGTCCATGATACATGAATCAGTGGATAAATGATCAAAAGGTTTGTTCAGTTATTATATCCTGAGTACCTTCTAAGTGGCCGACTCCATACTCTGTTGCAGAAGTCTTTAAAAAAAAAAAAAGACCCATGGGGAGGGTAATAGCTCAGTGGTAGAGCACGTGCTTAGCATGCACGTGGTCCTGGGTTCAATCCCCAGTACTTCCGTTTAAAAAAAAACAAAGACTAGGACACATTTCCTCATCATATGGACCTTATTATTAAGCAGGTCATTTACCATTAGAAAATGACAAATATTAAGACAGTGTAACTTCATGAAAATTAGGTTGTATTTTCCGTGTGTGTTGCATGGCTAAGTGTTTTAAATCCTAGGCAATCTCATTTTACATGTTTATGAAGTTTTATTAAAATTTAAAAATTAAAACTCAACTCTTTTAATTTCTAGAAAAATCTGAAAACTGGAAGCTTCCTTAATAGGCTTGGGAAACTGCTGTTACATTTATTTGTGGTTTTATGTTTGACACTTTTTCTCAATAACATTATTAAGGTAGGTTAATAAAATGACATTTAATTTAACATTACTAAGGAGTTACCAGTTTTACTTTAAACAGGCTCAATTTTAAAGTTTCAGTAACAGGATTATTTTCTTAATTTTAGTCCTTGATTTCTATTCATTCTTAAACATAGTCTACTTTGAACTCACCTTTTGAGTTACTGAACTTTTTAAAAACTTGAAAAGCATTGAAAATTTCTCCAAATTTAAAAAATTCTAATTTTTAGAGAGAGGTTTCTGTACTGTGGTACTAAAAGAAAGATGTCGTGATTTTTATTGGGTTCAGTTAATAAATAAACTGGCTTTACTAAGACACCTGCCACGTACGTGACAGACTCCTCCTCAGCAGGAGAGTGGCAGTGCCCTCTTCCTGACTGTTGACCGTCAGAGAAGAGAGACTGTTCACCCAACCAGCCACATTCAGTACCTCTACTCCAAGCCCTTGTCACCATGTTCTTAAATATAGTTCAGTACTTTAAAGCTGATTTGCGCAGATTAATCAGCATTTCCAAAGATGGGCTAAAAGATACGCAGTTCATCCGCGTCCCCACTCTGCATGCTCACTTATCTGCCTGGATTAAGCCAGTAGAAAGCTACATGCCTGGACCACTGTTTTTTTTGACTCCCCAAAGGATAACGTCTGTTGAATTCCACTTGATGTTCTGCCAGCAACCTACAATGAGAAGAATTAGAAAAAATAGTCTGTGAGACTGCTCGCTGTTTTTACTGTACCCATGGGGAAAATTTCTCTTGAGTCTCACTTCTAGGACTGTTAGGATCTCTTCTGAGCAACTGGTTTGTTTTAGTCTTATGACCCTGTGAGTAACATAAATGCTTTTAAATTTCCCTCTTTGCATTTTCTGCTAGAATGCGTAAGCCCAGATTTGTGGCTCATCTCTAGTGAATATATTTTGTGTACTAACCTCAGTTCTGGATTAATCTTATTTTCTTTTCTAGATTCATTTTTCTTCACCCATTTATGTTAGATGGATTTTTATAAGCCGTAAATTAAAATTATACTCACTAATGATAAACACTGGCATTTGTCTTTTCACCCCTTGAGGGTTACTGTAGTGTCTTGAATTGTCTTTGTGTGACTGAGTCTTACATCAGTTGTATCTGCAGACACAAAAACCCCAAAGCCAAATAAGCCTCGTGGGCTGTATTCCTTTTTGAAGTTTCAGATTGTGATATTGTCAATTTTCTGATCTGAAAAATTGTACTCACTGGGCTTCAGCCATCTCCCCTCTCCCTGAAACCAAAGAACTTCATCTTTTGTCTATTTTACATATTGAACTTGTGCCTAGATTTTGTTTGCAAAAATGGTTCTGCTGAGAAAAAAAAAGAAAAAAGGAATGGAGGGAGCTTGAAAATCCCTTCTTTAGAATTCCTCAGTTCTAAGGATTAGTATGAACATTTACTAATTTTACACACACACACACACACACACAGAGTCCTATGAAATGGGACACTGAATATGTATATTCAACAGGAAATTATCAGAAAACCATGCATAAGGAACTAACAGCAATTTTCATTTTCTCCCTCCCCGATAGAAAATTCTTAACCTCAAGTCAGACGAACACATATTTAAATTTCTGAAGGCAAAATTTGGGTTTGGAGCAACAAGGTATGACTGAATTTAAAGTCTGTGTTTGCTTTTTATATTAAATCAGCAGGGTCTTTAAAATGTAAGTTATCAATTATAAATTTCAGGCTTATTTTGAGGAAAAATTTGAGGTTTACTTGTATTGAATTTAATACTCTGCTTTCCTTTTGTTTCCTAGAGATTTTGATGCAAACCTGTATCTGTGTGAAGAAGCATTTGGCCTTCTGCCTTTTAATACATTTGAAAGGCTTTCAGATACTCTGCTTTTTTATGCTTACATATTTGTTCTGTCCATCACAGTGATTGCAGCATTAGCTGTTGCCTTCCATAATCTCAGGTATGGCATATTTCAGAAATCTAATTCTATGCTTTAATGAACTTGTTCTATGTTGCAGAAAAATTGCTCAGTTGAAAATCAAAATGTCAGATTCAGAATAGAGTACAGTCAGTTTAAAGGGGGAGCATATAGAGTTTAGAAGGGACTGTACTCTCAGTAGTTAAGGACGGAGTCATTAAGAGACAGCAGAAAGCAGTGGATGCAGTGCACACAGGTTTGTGTTGAAGTCCTGTTTTGCACACTTGGGAACGAAGCGATCTTTGAGTCAGTTACATAACTCTCAGTATTTCCATTTCCCTTTGTGTGGAATGAGAGTGCTAAGAGTACATACTCTACAGGGTTTTGTGAAAAATAAGTTAAAACAGCATGAAGTATTTAAAATAGAGCCTCATACACAGAGTATTTTGCAGATTTAGCTGGCATTGGCTGTTGTTGTTGTTGTTAATATTATTATTATTGACTCATGGTCTCTAGTTTGTTCCAATTATTAATTTCCTTTGTTTTTCTACCTTCCTTTTTCCAGCTGCCTTTTCTGTTTCTTACAAAATATCGAGTTAATCATTGTTTTGTTGTATCTTGTTTAAAGGCTTATAAAGTTGGAACAGACCATAATTATTAGTATCCACTAAAGGTCTTAAGTATTAGTTGACAGTTTTTTAAAACTTAGCATGTCTACTGATCTGCTTAAAAGGAAAAGTCAGGGAGAATGAAGACTTTTTAAAAACTTGTAGAACACCTACCTATCAAGTTGATGGAGATTTTTGCATTTACTATCCGTGTTAAATTGAAAGAAAATTAAGTGTAAGAAGTTGAAGCTACTGTCATTTGTGAAAACTTAATGAAGCTCAGAAGGAACCCCTTTTTCTGTGTAGTTACCTTGCCAATTAAGGTGCTGGTGAGCTGTGATTCACAGCCACCAGAGAGCTGTGCTGGGGAAGTCATTACCGTGAGCCCAGATCAGTTGAGGTGTTTTATGATTATTAAGAATGAAGCAACACTGAACCATGAAAATATTTCACTGACTATAAACTATTTTAGTATCTTTCAGAAGTGTTCTTTTTATACCTAGCCCAAGATAAAATTTAGCCCTGTGAAAATAGATGGAAATTATTCTAGACAATGTAATTTAATATTCCAGACACGTGAAGTGTCGACAGGACTCTAGACTGCACGCAGAGCCAGACGTTCAGCTGGCCTGCAGTATTGTGAGACTGTCTGCCGTGCTCGGTGTGAATCTATGAGCCGTCTCTGGAAGTTGGTTTGGTATATGATTATAGATAAAGATTTTAGAGCGTTCTCATCTACCAGGTAGGGACATTCGGATTTTATTAGAGGAAAAGCACTACATTAATTACAGTAACTTAAGAATTATAATATCTTAACTTCGAAGTAATTTGAAGGATATTTTATCAGTGCTGAGTATTTGAAGTATTTCTACCTTGTAGTACTAGGAAGGATGGTACATTATTAAGTTTATACAGCACACCTGCGTTGGTGTGTAGGCTACAGCTGAAAGGGGCACACTGTTCTATACTCATGAGATTAGCAGAGTTTTCCAGCTCAGCTGGGGGACCAGAGGAGGTACTGTAGAGTTCCCCCAGGTATCAGCAGGAGGAGAGCATGTGTCCTTGTGGGGAGTAATCTTTTACTCCCAGTAGAGGCCAGTTCGGGTTGTAATATATAATGTTTAAGTAAACACGATCACTAGTGGTGAAAATTATCATAGAGTATCATTTTAATTTTCTAATGTATCTGGGGTGGTGGAAAGAGGATTTCCAGGCTATAATAGTTCTCTAGTTACATAGACGCATCATACATACCCAGGTCTACTGAACTTGTATGAAGGTTAAGTGGGGCCTTTATAAAAGCAGTATTTTTATCCTAAGCTGGCAGCCCTTACTGTTGTTTCCTCTTTCCCTTGACAACAAATTGTGCAAATCTGAACCCACTCATCCATCCCAACATCACTCAGGTGGAGACAACCAGACAGTATGTGCTTCCTTTGTGGTGCAATATAGAGTATATCACATCCTCACGAAGGATACTCGCCAAAATAAATGAACAGGACGCTAATAGTTAACCTCTAGATCCAATCACAAGTCTATAAGAAACCTGGGAATAGTGAAATGTATTAAATGCCACCGCGAGGAGATGATCAGCCAAATCCAGAAAGTGGGAATTGTTACAGGACAAATGATGCATTTTCTTCAAGAAGTAAATGGCCTTAAAAGTGGGAGGGGGAGTACTGTTATTGACTGAAAAATAAACAGACATGAAATACAGTATGAAAGCTTTGGATCTTGATTCAAAGAAACCACCTGAAAAAAGCAACTGCAAAAAACAAACAAAAAGACGAACTGGGTGTTAGACGATGTTAAAGAATTATTGTTAATTTTATGGGTGCAGTCATTTTAATGTAGCCATATTTGATAAAGAAGCATGTTAGAACATAATGACATACTGGTAGGGTAAAAATGTGATCACTGGTTCATAAAGGAGTTGAATTCCAAGTTTACGGATACATTTTTACTTTTCCTTATTTGTAAAAACTTGAAAAGTACTAGTAACTCCTAAAACCTCTCTGAAGATCTTGCAGTTTCATTGATTCCAAAAGGATATATATTTTTTGCTATCTCTTATAATTTAAAGGATTGTAGGGCTTTAAGGTTTTCCTTAAAATGAAATCTGTTCAATTTTAGTTACTCTAATTATTAGTGTATTTATATATTGATACTTTTAGCCTCATAAACAAATTCAAAATTGATCAGAGCTGATTCACTTCATTTTAGGGAAATAATACATTTCTAAATATATGAAGGCATAAATTTCTTGCATTTTCTTCTTTAAAAAAGATTTAACTAAATTAAAATTAGGTATCTAGCTCTGATTTTGTGTATGTGCTGTTTTATCCAGTGATTCTACAAATCAGCAATCCATGGGTAAAGTGGGAAAGTACACGATCGGCCTGAAACCAGAAACTGCCTACAACTTAATACACACCATTCTGTTTGGATTCTTGGCACTGAGTACAATGAGGTATTTTTTTCTTATCTGTCTGTTTATGTTTTTATTTGACCACTCTTCACCTGACATAATTTTGCAATATCATTTGGAAAGTGACAGTGATCTTCATTAATGATTATGGTTCCCACAAACATGTCCTTATTTATTCCTCCCAGTACAAAATACTATTTATAACCAATTTTTTCCTAGTTACCAATGTTCCTCTATTTTTAACTCACATGGTAGTTCTCAAAAGGCGAGTAACTAACCCCTTGGCAGATGTTTTCTGCGTAGTTTTAGTAAGACTTTACTATCCCAAATAATACAGCTGCCTTTACAGCTGTCTCAGCCTCCAGGTCCCCGCACGGCTAGCACTGTTCACCTTTGCCTGTTTCTGTTTTTACAGAATGAAGTACCTCTGGACATCACACATGTGTGTGTTTGCATCATTTGGCTTATGCAGCCCTGAAATATGGGAGTTACTTCTGAAGCTGATCCATCTTTATAACCCAAAGAGGGTCAGTGCTGTCCCTTTTTCCATTTCATTTTTATGACTTAGTATTTCCTTCATATCGATTCTGGTGTTTTTTTCTTCTTTTTTTCAGTAGTTGCCCATACATCAGTCTGATAAAATGGATACTAAAACTTAGAGCTAAAAATAGGTAATTGATATATTATAGTTTTAAGAGGAATTATCTTTAAATAATTTTATTTTTAATTTTAGCTTTATTTTCTAAATCATTTTTCCCAGACCATAAGTTAGTAGGTATGTTCATTATACAGAATTTGGAAATACTGAAAAGCACAAAAAGAAAAATTAAAAATCACCAGTAATCCCATTATCCAGAGTTATTGCTATTATTGTTATCATTTATTATAATAATATATAATACAAATGTTATTATTAATGTTTATGGTGATGATTAATAGCCCACAGGTGCGATTCTGGGTTGTTCTGCCCTGTAATTTCACTAGGTGGCAACTGGTAGAAGCTACTGTCTTATGAACAATTGTGACCCTTATACTGACTCAGTTGTTTTGCACGTCCGAAACTTGTGCTCCATTAAATTACACTTATGTTGTTTAAAAAAAAAAAAAGTCTCGTGTTTACAAAGCAAAAATGTATAGCAAAAGTATTCCTAATTCTTATAATCTAATGTCTTTCTTATATAGATATGTATAATGCGATACTCAATACCAATATTAATACTGCTGTATCTGTGCTGTAAGGTAAGACTGATTTTCCTCATTTTTGTCTTTTATCTGTTTAGCAGAATAATTGCTTTGACCCAGTGTGCTCTGTGTATCACTGGCAGGATAGAGTGGTTTGCAGAGGTTATAAATGTCTCCTTATGGCACATGGCACTGATAAGAACAGTGATGTTTCCCAAAATATTATTTAACAAGGAAGAACATAGCAAAAACTACTACAGTTTACTCATTCTCATTAATTTTGGTTTTGACTTACTATTGAGCTGATGTAAATTCTGAAAACAAAGATGTTTTCAAACATATTTTGAAGTGAGTGAAGAAGAAAATTTAGTTTCCTGTTACCTATTTTTTATAGAGCAAGCTCTTAAAATGCATATTTAACCTACATATTTTATTAGATGCTTAAAATCATCTTTGTAAGAGGGCTGGGCACACATAAATAAATACAGTCTAAGATTAGCCTTATCTGTCCTTCAGTTTCAATCGAAAATAATGAAATTCTTCATATTCTCAGTTGACTAATTTCTGAAGCAGCGATAACTGTGCATCAGTTCTGAGAACCCTTCATACGAGACAGTGAGTCTTTTATCACATCTTTGAGATTTAGAGGTTTGAATTGTCACCTGGGCAGGTAGCTGGGATTGTTTTATCCAACTGAGCTCTCACCCTCTCTCTGTAAAAAAAAAGTTGACATGTATTTTAAGTTTAGATTTTTTTTTCCTTCAAAAAAAATCTAATGTTTTACGTTAGAACAGCAGATTTCAAACTCTGCTGTGGACAGCCTGATTGGGAAGGGCGGCTGAAGGGGTGGGGGACTCACACACAGAGAGGGTCAGCTGCGGCAGCTCAGCTTTTGCTTTTATTTGCTTACGTTGTCCTGTAAGACTTTATTTGAAGCGAAGGTTTTAGGCTAAAAGAAATGTTTGATAATCACTGTGTTGGACAATTCTGTTGTAAATATTTCAAAAACTTATGTTCGGTCATGTTCCTTCCCATCTGAACGTTTGTTGTTGCGGGCAGACCGCGGTGCTAACTCCCAGGTACTGGAAAACACAGAAGCAGGTCGTTTCTGCCACTGCGCCTCTGCAAATTTTATTCCTCTAATGTAAATAAGTGAAACTTCTTAAAAATGTCC